TTCAATCTGCAGCTATCTGCTTACTTTTTGGGTTAAGTCTCAAAATTTTCTTTATAGGTTTTCCTTCTGTTTGCTATGTTTCTTTAATCTAATATGAAAGTCACAAGCTTCATAACGGAGGAATTTTCTATTTTTTTTTAACAAACCTTATAGGAACTCACTCTGTCAGTCTGTCTGGTAAAAAGTTTGTACAGGATATTTATTTGAGACCCAATCTCGGATCATTTATTTCTTTTACCTGAAAACACAGGAATCAATAAAAAAAAATAAAAAATTAGTTAATTGTAGTTAATGGCCATAAATTATTTTGTTTGGTATCGCGAACAAGGAAACGAAATTGTACTTGAATGAAGTGGTGGTATAAACTGAATTAGTTCCCTTTATAAATCGTCGCCTGAGGCTTAGTGCACACGACCATGAAATAGAAATAATAGATAAGTATACAATATCTTCTCCAGTCCTAAGCACCTCACTAGCAGAGTGGTTTGCACGTCGGTCCTAAGGGGCGAGAACTAAGAGTTTGAATTCAGGTCGTTCCTTATTATTTATTTATTTATTTTTGTAATGCTTGAAAAAAACAAACAATTACGGTAAAATCCACCCAGATATCCTTTTCTTTGCCCCACTCCCATTTTCCCTATTGGTCCTGATAAGTGCTAAATCGTAGCGTATTGAGAAAGCTAAAAGCATGAAATTGCGCTAAACAAAAACATTTGGTAAAAACATCTCAAAACGCACAGATTAATTGTTGTTAGTCTATTTCTCTTACACATTTAATCACATGAGAGATCTAAACTAATTAATTTAACAATACATAATATAAGCTTTGTCTTTTTTTTTTTAAAGTATTTATTTTTTTGTATTTTGCTTTTTGCTTGTTTAAGTATTTTCTAATATTTGTTTTTGTTAAAAAAGTATTTTTTTTTTACAAATATTATACTTGACCTTCTACACGTTACAATTAGTATCGCAGCCCCATGTTTTCCACTTTTAATTCAAAGCTCGATAAGTATTCGGACCATTTTTTCTTTCTTAGATGACAATGTAATCGATTCCGAAAATTAAGTGTTTCACGTGGCTACGCAAATCCAGAAGCGACCTGTAGTACCATGAATAAAAAAAAATCTTTCTGCGCTTTGAAATAGTTTAAATAGGAGCTGCTGGTACAAAAATGAAATATTGGATTGGATCAGAGTTTTGCAACTGATATTAAAAAGTATCTCCTGATGGTCTGGAAATTTTGTAGGAATCTCACGCATGTGATGTGATGTACAGTGATGTAGAAAGTCATTTTTAAAAGTTGCTTGCTTTGGGAAAAAAAATATATTTCACTTAGTATCCCCCTCCCCCGAATTAGTGTCATCCAGGGCGGTCCAGACACCTCAGGAATGCCACTGTCAGTATTGATTTGTGCCAATTCTTATATTTCAACATTTGTTTACCATGAATTAAAAAGTAGGGTGCTAGTGGGGAGAGGCTGTATCGACTCAAGGTTATCAGATAGTCGTGGTAATGACTGCACTCAACAGTTGATAGTCTCAACCTGTCTCTGGTATCGACTGCAACAATGACGCAGACAGAAATGACCTTTGTTTAGAAATAGTGCTGTATCATCAATTCCTCTTCTTGTCTAAGTAGTTTGGGTCGAGGAATAGATCTAGAGATGTCTAGAGATAGTTATTTAAAGCCTGGCAACAAATTAATTAAAATATTTTGATGGTCCATTGCATCAGTGGATTAAAGATTTTTCTGATAGGGAGAGAACAAAATGTAATAATAAATGGCTCTAAATCAATACCAATAACAGTAAACTCAGGTGTACCTCAAGGAACAGTCTTAGGTCCACTTCTATTTTTAATTTACATAAACGATTTACCAAATTGCTTTAGTTCAGGAACAAAAGTCAGATTATTTGCAGACGACTGCATAATATATAGAACAATAAAAATAACACAAGACACAGATATTTTACAAAGAGAATTAGATGAATTACAGAAATGGGAATCAAATTGGAGCATGTCTTTCCACCCAGAAAAATGTCAGTTGTTAAGAGTAACAAAAAACTAAAACAAATTAATTCCACTTATCTTATTCATGGTAAACCAGTAACACAGACTAAAAACGCAAAATACCTAGGTGTTATAATAAATGACAAACTGTCATGGAATCCACATATTGATGAAACTATAAAAAAAAATCAAACAAAGCATTAGGGTTTATTTTTTAAAAATTCTATAAATCAAATAAGAACATCAAACTAAAATGTTATTTAACCTTGGTTAGGCCAATAATAGAATATGCATCCTCTGTTTGGGACCCCTCAACTCAAGAAAACATTAAGAAACTGAAACAGAAACAAAATAGAGCAATGAGACTCATAACAAACGAATATTCACATTTGACTAGAGTAACACCTTTGGTAAAATCACTAAATTTAGAAAGCCTTCAGGACAGAAGACTCAAAAGTCAAGTAGCAATTATACATAAAACACTGAACCATAATCTTCAAATACTAAAACAAAATTTAATAAAATACTTAGAAAGACACAAAGATAAAGGCAAATTCCTCATCCCTTATGCTAGAACAAATTTGTACAAATACTCCTTCTTCCCTAGTGCTATTAGAGCATGGAATGGGTTGCCTGAGCTAGCCAGGAAAACCAGTGACTTATCAGAATTTAAGTCATTGGTTAATATGCATGACTGAATGCATGACGCGTAGGACGTAATCATCTTGTTTGAAGTAACGTCTGTATTATATAAGATAAGATAATAGATTGATTGACGGATGTTGAGGTATCTGTTTTCTTTAATAGAAGATGTAGGCATTAACTGAAAATAAAGGCCCCACACATTTTCACCTACATCTGTTGGACCATTGGGGTATCACACAAGATCTTTCTCCAGTCTTTGGATAGAATATCTTTCAATGACAGGCCCGTACATTCTTTTACGCTGTCTTCCCGTCGCTTTCTCTGTCTCTTCTTCTTTTCCCTGGTACTGTTCCATGAAGGTGTCTACGCTGGCCCCGAGGACCTTGTGATTTGGCCATAGAGTCTAAGTTAACTTTTTTTTTTGACAATAGTTTAGCAGGACCCCAGGTTCGGAATCCAATCTCTTAACCACTCAGCCATCTCGCCCCATATGTACAGAATGGAATTATAGTTGACCAGGAACAGCAGTGTTTTTTTTTCTTCATCTTATTTACTCCTTTGTTTTTTTTGTATGGGACAGTAGACGTCGAAGATTAAATACTTTGCCGTCGAACGAAACCTGACGTTGATGCCTTCGTGCAATCACTGCCTCATTTGACCCAGCACTTCGCCAAAGAAGATAGCGAATAGAGTAGGAGCACGTACACAGCCCTGCTTCACGCCATTTTCTATTGGGAAGTGATTAGACAGGTCACCATTGTGTGGGATGCGTAGCCACGGGAAATACTTCATTCCTCATTAACTCTTTCTCTCCTAATCGACGATGCCAACGTTGATTTGACCCCCAATATACTAAATTGATTTTTGGATTTATAAACTTTAATTTGTATTGTGTAAAAAGAGCATGCATTCTCCTATAATTCAGTACCAAATATAACATTTGCTGATAACAAACAAAAGAGGTTATTGAAGTTTAACCCTAACTGGATAGTGAAATACAAAACGAATAATACTGTCGAAACGAGAAAAAATAATTACGGAGAGAAAGAGTTAATGATAAGCCTTATTTACTTCTTTGAGCCAAATTACACATTCTGATGAGTAATTATTTTTGTGTCTAATACTTGTCCCGTCTAATTACGTTTGCAAGTTGTGGAAACACCGAGACACCTAAGCCAATGGGACGAGGTTGAACTAACGTTTAGAGAAAAAATGAAATACTTATACCAGGGCGCGAACCAAAGACATTTGGATCGACGGCCTAAATAACGCCGTTTCTTCTATGATTGAAATGAAATAAAATAAATCTGTGGCATTTTACGTTTCGAAAGACGACCTTTTCCGTTTGCAACTTCTCATGTGACTAAAGAGGCCATTGCTTGATACACAGCTGTGGTCAAAGGTTGGACATCTGTAATCACCAAGCGCTGTAGCACTTTCACCCTTTTTTTCTAGTTCTGGTGTGTTAGCAGCACCTTCGACATCACGGAGGTCACGGTGTAAACCATCTGCAATCCGGTCATTCCAGGACCCTTTCTTTATGCTCGCTGTCTATGTGGATCTATCCAGTTTCTCTTTTATCCCAATAGTTAGTGTCTGTTTTGAAGAGCTTTATGTCGTGTTTGCATACATCAGTATACAGGTACATTAAAAGTGGGCGACCAGCGGCTCTTCTGCCTATACATAATAAGTAATGATCTTCATAGCTTGAAACAAAAAAAATACTTTTACAAAAATCACAAAGCTTATCGTAAGTGTAATTGTGTCAATTAGTTTGGGTCATGTAATTATATATGTAATAGATCTAGATTAACAATAAAAAGCATTTATAAAATTTAAAAAAGGGAGGAACGACCTGAATACTAACTCATGGCTACAGCCTTCTCACGTTTCTTAAGCCCAAACGGGAATCACTCTGCTAGTGGAAATCCTATGAACATGGAAAATAGTAGACTATAGTTATCTATTGTTTTTGTTTCTATTTTTTATACTCTATTCACTAAGACTCAGACGAGGTGTATAAAGGGGACCAATTCAGTTTATAGCACCACTTCAATTAAGTACAAATTCTTTTCCTTGTTTGAGATACCAAAAAAAAAAAATTACCAATTTTTTTTTTATTCTTGTGATGTCAAGTAAAAGAAATAATTGTGCAAAGTTTCAACTTAATCCGAGAATGGGTGTGGGAGAAATATCGTGTGCAAACTTTTGGCCAGACATACTGACAGACAGACCGACAGAAAGAGTGAGTTGATATAAGCTTTGCAAATATGCACATACAATCAAGAGAGTACAATCGATTTAAACAATCTTTCATCGAACTCACAGAAAAACAAAACATTTCGGATTAAAATTGTAATTCGTTTATTTATTATAATACAAAGTTATTAGAATAAGCAAATCATGTTTATACATTGACATAATCAGCAGTTAGTAGGATGGTGGCAAAAAGATTTTATTCTAAAGTTTGGTAAAGTGTTAGAACATTTGTCTTAAGACAATAACATTGAAACAAACTCAAACACTATTTCCCCCGAGTTGTTACAGCAAAGATATAGGCCTACCACATACATATATACGTATGAGTTGTTACAGCAAAGATATAGGCCTACCACATACATACATACGTATGAGTTGTTACAGCAAAGATATAGGCCTACCACATACATACATACGTATGAGTTGTTACAGCAAAGATATAGGCCTACCACATACATGCATACGTATGAGTTGTTACAGCAAAGATATAGGCCTACCACATACATACATACGTATGAGTTGATACAGCAAAGATACACACATACATGATACATATAGTCCTGTGAAATAGAAACAAGCATTAAGAATTCTGAGAAACTTTTTCTAAAAAAACAAACAAAAAAAACACACCATTCAACAACAAATATTGTCAAACTTCTTAATATTACGCGAATTTATATTCTGTCACAATATTCATCTTCTACAGACCATAATGAAAACACTTTCCAGCAGCTACAAAACAATAAACTAGAGCAATATTTGTTTTAACATGGAGAAACACTTCATTCTCCAAACCACAAAAATGTACATGAGGATACTTGTTTCATTTCTGTCTTAGTGGGTTAGGTAGTATGCCTTTGATATTAAATGATATTTCTATTACTATTACTATTTTTTTTAGGTTAATCACTTTTCAATTGTTTATGATTTAATACTTGTGAATTATGAGAACTTACAAATAAAAACATATTAATAAAAAAAAAGAGGCACATTAAGCCTAAAAAAAGAGGCCTAAGGTCCAAGGATTCCTATTATGATAAAGCTAAAATTGAATAGAGCAAATTCTGAGGTTTCCTTTAAAAAAAAATGTACATTAAGTGACTGAAAGACGTGATGAGTTTCAGATGTTCCTTCAGAATTGAAGATAATTTACTTCCTAGTCCAAATCTCCCGTCAGAGGCAAGAAATGGAGATGTATGAAAGCTCAAGCCACCAAACATGCACATCATTTAAATTTAAAACTAAGTGTTTTTTACCAAGCTTTCCTGAAAGTGAAACATTTGAATTTGACTATGTACTAGTGCTAGACCATTACTAGACAGTAAAATTAACGCTTCAAATGTGTCTTACAAATATCGTTTCAAAATCATTTTCCTCCTTTCTTGAATGCCCCATACAAGCACATTTTGTATCTGGCTATTTCAGTATAATACTTCTACAACCAGTACCATAATCATCGTTGGGGTGGGAAGGGTTGGGGTATTAAAAGGTCTTGCTTTAGTCCCCCTTCCTCTTTATTTCTAATCTTCACTTAAAAGATAAAGGTACCTCTTTCAGACCTTGCAATATAAAGGCACTGATGATATACATCTGTTTCTATGGCCAACGGTTAAAAGGGTATCATGTGGACAGCACAACAATCAACCGCCCTTACTTCTTCAACGTCTGTGAAGTACCCATAAGAGTTGGCTGGACTCTCAGCGCCCTCTTACAATCTTGGAAGTTTAAAATAAAAATTTACGTCATCACAAGGTTTCAAACTCGTGACCCCTCAATTCGAAACCCATGCGCTTTACCACAAATCTGTACAAATCCAGTTTCTTGAAACATTGATCATCTCATAGAAGAGATGCTAAGGACTCAGGCTACAGTAAAATAACTGTTCAAAGAAAATTCACACATGTTCTTTAGATTCAACTATATGAAAACGTTTTATCACAAATCTTGTAAGCTTAATGCCCTTGCCAACAAGATTCATGTATTATGCAACAAAATATACTTAGTCCAGAACAAGAAATGCATGGTACTGATGGTTACAATATACATGGGAGATCCCTGGATAGGATACAGTGAAAGAATTCAAGGATAACATTGAAAGTGAACAAGACTTGGTAGATCAGATATGTTTGAATAAGAGAAAGAATATCCCAGGAAATATATCACAATATGTGGGCCAGTAATGTCCACGGGACATGGACAATAAACGCAAGTGAATTAAATTTCATGTAAAAGCCAGAGCGTCTCTAAGTTGGTTAATGAGCAAATAAGGAATGCATCAATTTAAGTACTGGATCTACCTCTTGTCTCATTCAAAGTCTAATAATACACATAGGGGAAAGTGAATGTATAGTATGGTCATAACTAACAAGGTCTGGTTTGGTGTTTGTTTTTTTTTAATTTCAGGAGCAGTAAGTAAGCCCAAGCCGAAAGTTTTAATGTTTATTAACCCTACAAAATATCCTCTACAGTCTAATCTGAGTTGCTTGATCAAGAGAATGTAAACCCAAAGAAGAAAGAGTTTTGTTTTTTTATTAACCCTACAAAATACTCATTACATTCTTACACCATAAGGGTAAATTACATCGAAATTGTGTAATGTTAAACAGCATTTTTGGCGCCAGCTTGGGAGTTGTTTCAAAGAACTACGCCGCTTTTTGCTTCGGTCAGAGAGGGAATAAACATGGAAACGTTCATCTGGCTAAGGGGGCTTCTTTCCTTTTTTTCTTGACTTGTTTTTCTCTATTGCTAATGACTAACAAGTTCATGATCAAGTGTCACAGACCAAAGCTCCATTGACCAACAAAGTCACTGTTTTGGACACACACACACAAACAAAAAAAAAACATCATTGCCAGGTGTAGTGTAATACTGATACACAAGAGGGCAAGAGAAACAACTGTTCTGTATTTACTTTCTATGTCCTGCATTCAGTTTCCTGCATACTTGCCCCCTTCACAACCTAACCAATGATAGTAATTCAGTTATTCAGTTTACAGTTCAATACAGAATCTGAAATATCTGTTGAAAATGATGCATTATAATTTATAATGATCTATAATACAATACAATTGTACAAAAGTAAATGAACAGTTAATGTATTAGATAAATATTTACATCTCACAAGGGATGTTTCCCATTCAAATTACTTTCACACCACACACGGGCGCAAAGACACACAAAGGCACAAAGTAAAACAACCAAAGTGTATTCAAAATGTATTGCGAAAAGAAACATTATGCAAAATGAAGCAAAGCTTCAGAATCCAAATCAATAATTTCAAACAATAATAGAACACTGTAAAGAAAATACATAAATGATATAATCACAATCATAAATACGTGTCAAAGGATTATTCCTGGATTATTTTATAAAATATAAACTATAAACAGAAAAGATGCAATTATACACTTAAGATTAAAAAAAACAAAAAGATCAATAATAACATCAATATTTAGCAAATATAAGCTTGTCAAAAACAATAAGACTTCAAAGTCATCCAGTCATGACTTAGTTGTACATTTTGATACAGTCATCTGCAGTGATTTTAGTACCGGTACGTTAAATTGTTTATAAAAGTATTTTTTTAGCTGAATGCATTCCAGTATAGATAGTCTCTATGTATTATAGCCGAGCTTAAGTAGTCTGTATTTATGATATCCTAGTCTAGCTTGTATGTTTATTATATTCTATCTTATATTATACAGACGTTACTTCAAAAAAGAAGGATGATAACGTCCTGTGTCATTCATTTAGCCATGCATATTCTCGTTTAGCTTGTATGTGTTTATTATATTCTAGCCTATCTTGTATGTTTATTATATTCTAGGTTATCTTATATGTTTTTTATATTCTAGCTTATCTTGTATATGTGTATAACAGTATTTTCGACTATAGCTACTCTTGAGTTATTTCACATTATAGTCGTATTGATTTAACAGGCCTATATGCCGAAATCTAGAATTCCTATATTCTAGTTTGTTTGATTTATGGCATCATTTTAATTTACTGGATTGTAAACACATATCAGTCATTAGTTTCATGTCCTATTTGTTTGTAAAATGTTTTACATGTTTCGGATGTTCCTTCAGAGTTGAAGATAATTACTTCCTAGTCCAAACCTCCCGCAGGACGACGGGAGATGGGAGCGGGCAGGGTTTGAACCCTGGACCATCGATAAATCTGAACGACAGTCCTGCGCACAAACCGCTCGACCAGGCAAAGCCATGGGTCAAAACTGTGAACTTACAGAAGGAAGGGCAAACAGAAACTAATAAAAGAAAAAGTGTAAATAATGAGTCATTACTTCCACGAAACAATTATAAATAAGAGACTAGTTTGCTTTCTAGATTTGGTGACTTTTTTTTTTTTTTTTAACAAAGCTTATTTCAACGGACTCTGGTACAATTCTTGCACATGTTAGTTCTCGCACTTCCCATTCTCGGATCATGTGGAAACTTTGCACAATTGTTCACAATGTCGATCACAACACATGAATCAATCAAAATTAAATTAATCACATAGTTTATTTTAACTAATTTTGTCTTATATAGAGAAAGGGAGATGAATCTTGTGAGATTTGGCAGTAATTGTGTAGTTTTTCCCCTTATGTAAGCTTGGTTTGTACAAAAGTATTTTAAAAAATATTTTGCTTGTTTTTTGTTGTTATCCAAATGCATAATGACTAGATCCATACTGTCTCTTCAGTTTTAGCAAGTTGTGGGGAAGTTGTTGCTAATTACAAATATAGTTTGATTATCGTTTCATAAATACCAAACTAAAACCAGATCTGGAAACATATTAGAGGCTCTCTATTTACTCATCTATGGGTTGAAATGCCGAAGTGACGTTACAGTAGACCTTCCCTCAAAGATTGTAGACTGTGGACATTGAATACACTGAATATATCCTATCGGTAAAAACAAGCGATAGAATGGTGACAAGTCCCTCGCCCTATTTAGGCCAAAAACTATTTGAGATATGGGGCGCTTTATAGGTCCACATATATGTCAGTGAGGAATATTTCTCTGGGGGCCCTATTCTATATTTTTTTTTCCTACAGGTAAATCTACTAAAGAAGTACTCTTGATTTCATGTTTTTATATGTATACCAATATATGAAGATGAAAAAAAATAGTTAAAAGGCTTTTCTTCGAGTACTTCCATTAGTGCTCATAAATGCAACACTTGATGTGTCCTACACAATTTGCCACACTGTAATGGTTAAAATAAAGTTATGAATTTGTTCCTAAGATTAACTTTTTTTTAAATTTATATTTATAGTTTAGATATTTATACGTAATATA